TATTTGTTATGTAAGGAGAGAGAAACAAAATTGGCTTTTAGAGACTTTAGAAAAAAACATGGAAGAAAAAAGAAAAAATAAAAGATGACTTTAGTGACTTTAAAAAAATTAAAAGCAATAAAAATTTGATTGGTTAATTTTTAACTGTTAAGATTGTATAATCCATTAAAGTCTCTACAGCCTACATGCCAATCAGCCCCCTACTGTTGTTGTTTTTTTTTTTTAATAAGTCCGACAGCAAAACTTAAAGAGTGATGTTGACAACAAAAAGAAGTTGAAAAATAAATAAAGAATGATGTTTAAAAACTTGAAAGTACACCAAAAGATTTTTGAAAGAAGCAAAAATAATAATTGAATGCAAGAAAGTAGATAGATATGACAAAATTCAGATTCAAGAAATAATTGGATTATAAGTCTATGATATATCAAAATTATAATTGTGAGGAGACAAGTGGCCTTGGATTATAATTAATTCAAAGGGAACACATTTTTATTTTTATTTATAACGATTGTGATGTCAATTTCAAACATATTTCGAGGTCTCGTTCTAATGGCCGTGACTACCTTGATAAAAATAAAGCAACCGTCTAGGATCTCAATTCAAATCTATGTTTTTAAGGCTTCAAAATTTATATAATTAGTTTAAATAATAAAAATTGTATATATATTTTTTGGTTTAGTTTAAAGATTTACAAATAAAATCTTACAAATTGATTTTGGTTAATGGATTTCATCAAAATTTCAGATTTTAATCATTATAAATTTTCTGTTTATATTTTTCTTTTTAACCCATTTGATATCATTTTTACATTGTTATTTAAATGTCTAACTTGTAATTAATATATTTTAATTAAAAATTTAAGGAATATATGCACACAACATCAATAAATATATTTTAATATCAAATATTTCTGATTTTATTTTTGATTTAGTAAAACTTTTTATTTTCATATAAAAATATGAAACTAATATGTTAGTCACATCAAACTATCAAATATAACTTTCCGTTGTATTAATATATTTTTAAAATAAAATTTTCATATTTTATATGATAAATATTATATTAATATCGTCTTGGGTCCCGGAAGACTAGACAGTATACCGGTTATAAATTATGATCGACACGTACGATTTCCCCTGCTTCGCGTATTCTTCTCACAACAGTTTTTTTAGCATTTTTTCCCACTAACTTATCGTTTGGTTTGTCCAAATATGTGTACTTCACTAAGATATAGACAGATGATTTGGTTTTTAATTTTTTATTGTAGAATATACGTAAAAAAATATGTTGTAGAATATTTGTCATTGTCCTATTATCAATGCATGCAGATGACACGCTATAAGATTGAACAACATTTGAAGGCAGCGAGTTTTGGGTCCGGGTTAGGTTCACTTTAATGGGTTTTCTGCTTTTTATAAAATGAATATCCAAACTAACACAATTCTGATGTTGTTTTCAAAACTAAACCATTTCTTTTTGTCACACAAATTATATTTTATATATTTATTAGTTTTTATCCTCAAATATACCTTTTTCCGTCAAAACATTATAATAGAACCGAATTATAAGGTCGAATACACCGGAATCATAACCCAAAAAACTATTAAAAAACAAAATCCGAAAAACAACCGGAAAACTAAACTAAAAAAATTACCAAAAAACAAAAACATACCTACAATTATGGTTAACTAGAGAACATGAACATAAACGAACCACTCGCAATCAATAGACACAGAACCACAAAACTAAACCATTTTAAAAATACAATTTAACATTATTTAAGATTAGGAAAGTAAACAACTAAATTACGAAGAACTAACTCAGCAACAAAGCTTTTCATTGGCCACTGAGAATTTCGACTAATGTCTACCCTACAAAGTTATGGAGAAGTTTGAGTTTATTATAAACCCATTTGT